TTTTCATTTGCCTAAGAAGGAATGATGGAAAGTCAAAGCATATCTATCTTCTTCCAAACTTCCAGCAGCCTCCCCATGAGTTAATGTGTGGCTTCAGCTCCTACGTTCCCAGCCGAGAGCTCCTGTCTCTCTCAATCCCCTCCCAGTGTCCCCTGTAATGTGTTATTTTAATACAGGACATACTCTGGTTTCTGGGTGGTCACTGAGTTCAAGCTCAAACCCTGGTTTTTGACCTCACCTTTCTCTGTTTGGAACTCTCCCTAGACTTGCAGCTGGGTGTTTGGCCCTCAGATGAATGGCCCCCCTTCTCTGGGGCACCTGGCAACCAGTCCTTCCCAAAGAGTGAAAACCATCATTTCTACTGACTGCATGCTGACTATGAGCCAGGCATATTCTTTGTTCCTTATAGCAATTATATGGGGTTGAATTTATCACCCTCACTTTCAAGGAGAAGGTGTAACTCTGAGCAGGTGAGACCTCTGCTGAGGTCTTCTAGACACTTCAGGACTGTAGTGCCTAATACAGTTCTTAGCATATAGACTTCATTAGCCATTGTGTTTTTGACTCTCACAGCTACTAAGTGCCAGGTCTGAGACCACAATCTGTGTCTATATCATCAGAAGCCTTTTCTCAATCTGCCATGCTAAGCCTCCTCCATCTGGGTTCTTGCTTGCCACAATGTTCTTTTCTGGAATATTCTTCCTCTCTGGTTGCTATTACTTTTTGAGCAGAGGTAAGTGCATTTGCCCGGACAATCCCTGTAACTATCAGTAACTTGTGGTGGCTTCTAGATCAAAGGTCTAGGGAGCATGCCCAGGTGGAGGGTGGGAGCCCTCTGGATATTTGCAGGAACATGATTTCACATTATGTACCTGGTAGGGTAAGCTTTCATCCTTTTGCTGCCTCCCTCAGAAGCCTATCAAACAACTCTGTGCCTTTTCCTTCTCCTTTTTGTCACTCTTTGGAACAGAGTTGGGACTTGTGTAACTGCAGTTCTTTTCTGTGGGAAAAATAATCTCATTTCAATATGTGTGGGTGGGTAGATTATAAGTAATAGGCTTTGGAGCTCAGTTGTAGGACTAGGGAGGGACTGGGTTAAATAGTTGTATGACTAACAAGCTGCCGCGTTTTTATGGTCTAGAAAGAAAAGGTTGCTGTAAGGATTATCGGTTCAGATTGGAAATGATTCACCCAAAAGTATTCAATACTTTGGGTGGTAGGAATGGGGAGAGGAAAAGAATGTATCCCTCTACCTCCTGGAAAAGAACAGTATAAAGTGTACTCAGAGGAGTTTAATCCTTCCTTTTTTCTTTTAAGACTTCCTCCTCCTTGTGGGGAAGGTCTCTGAAATTATGGAGAGAAGAAGGTGCCCTGTAGGAGATACTGCTTGACATTCTATTTGTGTTTGGTATTAGCAGCTTGTTAGATGAAGTGAGATTTGCAGGTCAGCTCTCAGGATAGGTGATTCTGAGTAGTCACCTCACCTCTCCGGGTTTCGGCTAAGGGCTGGTTGGTCTAGATAACCTTCTCGGTATCCTCCAAGTTCATTCGTTCATTGAGTGTTTATCGAACACCAGTTAGGACTGAACAAGCTGGCAGTGCGCTGTAGGATCCACCAAGACCCCTCTCACTTCCTGCCTGAGTTCAGAACCAATTGAGAGGAAGACACTGAAGTTAGACAGGTGGAGATTCACATGTCACCACTATTACAGACAAACACTACCGAGCATAGCAGGATAAAGGGAACAGAGACATTTGGTGGCTTTTCTACCACCAAACGTCACAAGGAAACTAACTTGTTCACCTGTTCTCAAGCACTCTGGACTATCACAGGGTTCCCCCTTTCTGTCTGCCTTGGTGGGTATCCTTCTTCAGCAAAAATTTGCAGCATGGAGGAGCAGGGCAGAATGCATGCTGTCTTTCAGATACACCCCCAAAGAATGAGAGACAGGGAGGGACTGTTCCAACAAGCTTAGCTCCTTCTCCTGAATGCATCGCATCCATAGCAAAGTCACTTCCTTTCCCAGTGGAGGGTAAGACAGAGAGTGGAGAGAGGCCTAAGGGCTTAGGGTAAATTCCTCCGCATGGAAACCAGCAAAGTTGGAGATAATTGTGGTCAAGCCAGAAGACACTCTCCACACATCTGCTGTCACCGACATTTCCCAGCCTCTCTTACTGTTACAAATTGGGGCCATGTATCTTCATCTGGCCAATGGATTTGAGTGGAAGCAATTGTCACTTGTGAGTTTAATCAGTAAAAACGTTCGTCTGTCCCTCTTACTCTCTGCCTTGGTGACCCTGGAGGCCATATGTTCTAAATAGCATGGCTACAAGACCAAGAAAATGTGTCCAAACTGAAACGGATTTTACATGAATTAGAAATAACCTTTATTTTTCTAAGCCGCTGAGATTTGGAGGTTTATCTGTTACCACAGCAGAGACTGTCTTATCTTGACTAAAATAATGCTGCCCCCTGAACCTCAGGGACCAGAGATACCGTGAAAACACAACAGACGTGATCTTTGTACTCATGGAACATTTAGGCCAGTGAAGCAGATTAACAACAAACAGGTGAAAAAATAAATAGGTGTACCCCGTGGTAAAGGCTGTGAAGGAATAATTGTGAAGAGTAGTTGGCAGGGTATTAACTTAAATTTGGTGGTCAGAGGAGGCATCACTGAAAAGGTGACATTTTAGCCAATCTAAAATGTTACATGTCAATAAAAAGTGAGAGTTCTTTTACACAGTAATCTCTTGCCTTTGAAATTCCAGTATATTCCTCTCATGGCATATATGCACTGGCCAATATATCATCAAGAGGAGCTCCTCTTGTTGGTGATATTCTGGCTAGTGCATATATGCCAAGTATTTCTTTAGCCCATTGCCACTGGCTAAGATAATGTTATCTTCCTTTCCCTGGGTGGTTTCTATTATAACAATAAAGCTTTGATTTTTATTTGATAGGTATGTACTTATAATATTAAGTATGCTTTATCAAACTACTTCAGATCCCTTGTCAACAACATTCAGTTGCCTTCTCCTTATCCCCACCCTGTGTAATGCATCCTTCCTGGTTGAAAATCATTAATCCAGGAGTATGACTTTGAAATCTCAGCATTCTAACCCCAGCGACCAGTGTGTGGTTAGAGAACTAATAAGCATATACTTCCATAGGAGCAACATGTACATTGTTTTAATGGAAAGACCTACACTTTTCTTCAACTGATGGCCCAAACATAGTCTGGAGTTGACTACAGTGGACAATTGCTTTCATCAGGCTGTCCAGGATTCCTTCTCTCTTATTGTGGTAACAATTTCCTGATTTTCCACCAGGACATTACCCTCTCCTCACTCTCCATTCGCATGATCTGGGTGAATTGGTGACTCAGGTCGTGACTATCAAAACATTGGCATTGTCCTAGTTCCAGTGATTAGTCCAAATATGGCTGTGTGACATGTGATTCAGTCTACTGAAAGTCAGGCCTGAGTTTTTTGTCGGTATTTTGATGGAAAAGAAGCTTGACCTTCTCTGTGGGACATAAACCTAGGAGAGCATAGGGCTCTAGCCACTAGTTTCTATCTCATCTTAGAATGCAACTAACACTAAAGGCAGTAGGCAACTTTAGGCAATAGATGATTCCATCACTCATGCCAACTTCCTCCTGGTCCTCAAGTCGAGTTGGGTTTTCTAAGCCTTGCAATGAAAACAAATTTAACTAATACAGAGGATAAAATTTACAGAAGGAAAAGAAAGATGGAACAAGTGTCAATTATACTGTTCATCTAAATTCTCTTAACTTTTTTCTCAGAAATTCTAGGTACAGGGGTTCCTGGGTAGCTCAGTCGGTTGAGCGTCTGACTTCGGCTCAGGTCATGATCTCATGGTTCGTGAGTTTGGGCCCCACATCAGGCTCTATGATGATGGTGCGGTGCCTGCTTGGGATTCTCTCTTTCTTCCTCTCTGCCTCTTCCCTCACGCTCTCTCAAAATAAATAAATAAACTTAAAAAAAAAAAAATTCTAGGTACTTCGGAGTGGTAATGATAATTGCCCCAGGAAGTTCATGTTCTGATAGCTTTACCTTCCTTAGTGGGAAACATATTTATTGAGAATAAAGAAAAATAGATTCTATCTAATTACAAGGTATTATTCAAGATATGAAATGGAAAAAAAAACCCAAAAAACTATGAACACAGCAACTCCCCTCCACCCCCCAAAACAACAAAAAAAGGCACATGAAACACATTTAAAAGCCAGGCAATAAAAACAAAAAATAAAAAGGGAAAACAACAAAAATCTTTCTGAAAGTTCTTTGCCCACTGGGAGCTTAAAAGAATGTTAACTGCCTAACTCCTTAAAGCAGATTTAAAGTAATCAACTCGCACAGTGATTTAATTCCCTCTCATTCTCTGTCTCTCCCTGGGTAATGCATTACTTTTGGGGGTGTGGTTTTAATTCTAGATGGCCCAAAGGAGAGGAAGCAGTTCAAAATTGATAATAGGTCAATTATCAGTAAGTGGATAACTGCCTTCAGGGGTCGTCAGGTTATGGTCAAAAGCCAATTCTTCTTTTCTCCATTCAGGAAGGAAGGAAGGAAGGAAAGAAGGACAGAAGGGAGGGAAGGGGGAGGCAGGAAGAAAGGAAAGAGGGAAGGGAAGCAGTGAACAAGCCTAGAGTTATCAAATGCATCATTAAAAGCCTAACTGTTGGGGCACCTGGGTGGCTCAGCTGGTTAAGCATCCAACTCTTGGTTTCATTTCAGGTCATGATCTCATGGCTCGGGCTTGGGCTCTGATAGCACACGGAGCCTGCTTGGGATTTTCTTTTCTACTCTCTGCTCCTCCCCGGTACACGTGCTCTAACTCTCAAAATAAATAAATAAGCTTAAAAAAAACCTAATTGTTATATGTTGCTTCAATTTTATAAAAGAGAAAATGGGGGCTCAGAGAGGGTGATAATTATAATTAATCCTTATTCAGTGTTTCATATGTCACAGGTGCTTTTGTAAGTGTCTGCTATGAATTAGCCTGTTGAATTCTCAGAACAGCCCCAAGAGGAAGGCAACATTATTCTCGGTCCGCGGAAGAGGAAACAGAAACACAAGCAGGTGAAGTAACTTTTCCGAGCTCACATAACTTGAGTCAGAGCCGGGAGTCGAAGCAAGGTGGTTTTGTTCCAGAGCCTGTGCTGTTAACCATTAGGCTGTTTGGCCCCTGTAGGCCAAGGGATCTGTGCAGGCTGATTTGCTCAAAGTTTCCAAGTGAATTAGTAGTTGTACTGGTCCTGATTCTTTACTCCAGATAACATAGTTAGAGTTCGCTTTTTCTTTTTTTTTTTCATTTTTTTTTTCAACGTTTGTTTATTTTTGGGACAGAGAGAGACAGAGCATGAACGGGGGAGGGGCAGAGAGAGAGGGAGACACAGAATCGGAAACAGGCTCCAGGCTCTGAGCCATCAGCCCAGAGCCCGACGCGGGGCTCGAACTCACGGACCGCGAGATCGTGACCTGGCTGAAGTCGGACGCTTAACCGACTGCGCCACCCAGGCGCCCCAGAGTTCGCTTTTTTAAAAAAGAGATCTGTTAAAAAGTATAGCTAGCTCCCACAACTGACGAAGAGGCTGGAGTAACAGACGGTGGGCTAAAAGTCCAGGGAAGAGTCTCAGAGCCACACCATGAGACCAAGCCACCCAGAGAGAGGCTGCCCCTGTCATGACTGGGGCACTGTGAGCCAGGAGCTGCCACCCCAGCTAAGGACTCCAGAACGGGGCCGCGTCTGTATCAGTCTGTGCCAGCCCTGAATCCTGCCTCCTTCTCCATGAATCTATCTCACTGCCCCCTAAATGTCCTCCAGGGTCCATTCTATTACCAGAATCTATACTGTATGTTGACCCACCAACAAGAAACATGAACTCCACGCTGGAAAGGAGACACTCAGGGGCACCTAGGTGGCTCAGTTGATTGAGCGTCTGACTTCGGCTAAGGTGATGCTCTTGTGGTTCGTGAGTTCGAGCCCCGCGTCGGGCTCTCTGCTGTCGGTGCAGAGCTTGCTTGGGATCCTCTGTCCCCTTCCCTCTCTGCCCCTCCCCCACTCGTGTGCACTCTCAAAAATAAATAAGCATTAAAAAAAAAAAAAAGGAAAGGAGACACTTACACTTAGAGAACTACCAAAATGCCGAGAGGGTGTTCACATGGGCTAAATGACAGATGCCCACCAAAAATCATAAAACTGAGATTTGAGACCAGGTTCAGCTAGCTCCAGAGTCCATGTTCTTAACCATGTTATTCCACACTGCGTGCTAACGCCCTTGTCCCAGAGGACGCAGGGATCACCAGATCCAGGGGCCCTGGATCTGTGATGCCTCACATGCTCTGCTCAAAGTCCCTAAAGAAACAGCGGCTGCCAGACTCACATTCATTGTCCAGGAGAGTATGTCTGTCTTGAATGCCACACCTCACTTCATTCTGAAGAACTCAAGTGGAAACTTGAGGTAGAAACCTGGTGGCACAATTAATACTCTCCATTGAGTCTAGAGCTCATGCAAAAACCCAGTGACCTGCTTTCTCTGCTGAAGCCTCTCATTATTTGCTTTCAGACTGAGTGCTCCATGAGCGAAGAACCTGTGTCTTCTTCCTGCTGTTTGTCCTGCTCCTGGGACCGGGCCAGGCACATGGTAGGTGCTCCAATAAATAATATTGATGAGTAAGAGGAGGAACGGAGGGGTGGATGGGTGGTGGAAAAGTTCTCTTGAGTCTAAGTCGTCTCCCAGGGGACAACCTATCGAGTCAGGTTGGGGAGAGAGTCGGTGGAGACACAGAGAGCAAAAGAGCAGGCCAGAGATAACACAGATCACACGACACTCCAGAGTAAGCCATCATCTTGCCGCTGACAAATCACTTCCCATTTCCCTGTGAGCTCCCCAGCCCCTCCCGTTCACACCGCAGGGCAGATGGCCACCCTCCCCGCCACAACAGACTCACACTCCACAGTAATGAAACTTGTCCCTCCCTCCTTATGTGTCCCCCCTTATGTGTCCCTCCCTCCTTCAGACTCTTCAGCAAACCACAATTTTACCTTCCCCCGACCACTCCACATTCCACGGGGAGCCCCAATCCTTCCTTCCCACAACCACTTCTCATCCACACCAAGCACCAAATCTCTGCCACGGCCACTTCACACTTTATAGTCATCTCCAATCATCCTTCTCACACTCCTTGATATGCCAACAAAAGGCAGTTCTCCTTCCAACTGCCTTTTCCAACTGCTCATACATGGCAGTGAACCCCAATCCTCCCTCCCCATAAGTCCCTGACGTCCCAGAGTCAACCCAACGTGCCCACCACGAAAACACTTACTGCTCCATGGTGAACCCCTTCTCATCTCAAACACTCGACACTTCCCAGTGGAAGTGGGTGGACTCACCCACCACAACCTCTTCACACTCCACAGTAAACACCCTCAAGTCCTTCACCAAACCCTCCTCTCCACAGCCCTTTGACGCCCACATGAACCTCCGAGCTTTCTTCCATCTGCACCCCGCACACTCTTCAGTGAGCCCCCACCCCCTCAATATAGCTTCTTTACCCCCCAAGGGAGACTGCAACTCACTTGACCCTCTGAGCCCCTCCATTTTTCACAATGAGCCTCAACCCCTCATTCATCCACTCATTGCTCACACTATGCTGTGCAGAACCAGCAAAGGTAACACGGAGCTAGCAAGGGGGGGCCATATGCACTTCTCAATATTTAAAAAAGCCTAAAAGATATTCCACATTAATTTGCAGTAATACATTATAAACTGACTAAAATATTAAATAACCCGTGCTTCAAGCTGGAATTACTGCCTGATTCCTGTCGATCAGTTTTGTTTAGTAATTTATGTATCTCCACTCAATAAAAATTGGGAAATGAATTAAGTACTAATGGAAAATTACGATTATTTATTTTTGGATCAAATCCTTTTGAAATACTGGATCCCCGGGCAAAAGCAACGAAAGACATATTCTTTGTGAAGAAAAGGTGCACGGACACCAGCACTGCAGCCCAACTCTGTGTTTTAGAAGTCAGTCTAGAGTGGAGAGGGAGTCTCTGAAGTTCATGGCTGGGCAGGTCCAATGCTCTGCCAGCCTCTATGCACAGGGAGGGCAGGCATCTTGCACCTTCACTGGTTTAATTCCCCATGCACCTATTTATCAGTGAATTATCATCTTCTGATTTAATCTATTGTCCCAGATATTTTTTTCAACTAAATAATCACTGATGCTTCTATTTTTCTTTTCCTTCCTTCCATCCTTCCTTCCTTCCTTCATCTCTCTCCCTCCCACCCTTCTTCTTTCCTTCCTCCCTTCTTTCTTTCTTTCTTTCTTTCTTTCTTTCTTTCTTTCTTTCTCTTCCTTCCTTCCTCCCTCCCTCCTTTGTTCCTTCCTCCCTCCCTCCCTTCTTTCTTCTTTCTTTCTTCTTTCTTTCTTTCTTTCTTTCTTTCTTTCTTTCTTTTTCCCCTGATGTTTAACTAACACTGGCCACTGTATTAGAATTAGTCATTTGCTGACTATGCCAGCCAGCAGCCTCATAATCACAGCCTTGTCACAGAGCATGGCTGCCACAGTGACTGGAATGGAAATGGAAATAAATGAAGTGTTATTTTCCCCATCCTGAAACTAGAGAACTGCATCAAGCTCACAAATGTGAACTTGGGGAAGGAGTTTTCAAGTCCAGCAAAGGTTTTATAGTTAGTGAGCCTGGCTGGAAGCTGGGTAGATCCTGTTTGATGGGTTGTATGGTGTGACTTTCTTGGAGCACCTCAGAAGCAATGCCTACTAGGGGTGGTGGGGCACACCGGGGAGGAATGAGCTAAGGCACATCTTGGTGATGTTCCGAAGGATGATTGGAAGGGTATGGCGATGTCTGGAAGTGATAAGCCTCAGTGTTTGTTTATACCTTACTGGAAAGCCATGTAAATTAATGGAAACTTCCTGGCAAAATACTTTGACTTGTAGCAACTTCACTGCCATTCCTGGATGATAATGTAGAAGTCATGTTTGCCCACACCCTGTTCATCTCAACCCTGGAGACAGTTGTCTTTCTGGCCATAGGAGAGCTCAAGTTTATGAACGGAAACAAGAAAGCATTGAATGTGGCTTTTAGCTGGACACCAGAGGGAACCAGGGCCTTCCATAAACTGCCTCAAAACACCTTCACACAGCTCAGTTTGAGCCAAGTCCTTACCATCAGGAGGTTCACCAAGAGCTCCAAAAGTATGGTACTTATATAATTAAGACCAAGTCAGCAAGCAGTGTCAGGGTAGCCTGTGTCCCCACTGCTGTGTTAGGCATCCTTGTGGTAATTCATAAAGACATTCACTCATTCAGTAAGCACTTAACTGAAAGCATGATGCCTGTCAGGGATTGTGTAGATCCTTGCAGATACAATAGTGAGAGAAGCCCAAATCATGTCCTCAACGGGTTCCCACTCAGGTGCAAAGACACAGATGTATGTAAACAGAATATTACACTATCGTGTGTCAACCCAACCCGTAAGCCCCTCACCCAGTTTCAGTGGATAGAGAGGGAAGACTTCTGGAGGATGTGGCCCTTTTGAACTTAGTTGTGGAAGTGTAAAACATTGCCCAGTTAAGAAGCAGGGAGGAAGGAGACAGAAAGACATGTGAACAGAATTACCTGGAAAGAAAACATCTGCCATGTTAAAAAGAAAGCCACAGGCCCGGGATGGAGCCACTTGTGCTAGGCCAAGTCGCCAAAGCAGGGCTTAATACCTAACCTAATTGCAGTTTCAACTTCCCCCAGAAATGCAATCTTAATGGATCAGCCAGGAATTTTCTGACTGGTACCAATCAGGTAATCAGGCCCATGTCACATGGGCCCTCTCCAAATCCCAAAGGAAGATGAGGTCATCTGCACGATAAGACCCCCTGCCCTTCTCCCTCAGGGAAGGTGACCTTGCCTGAAACAGTCCTTTCTTTTCTTTTGCTAATTATGCCTTGCATAATCCCATAAAAACCTTCCATTTTGTACAATTCCTCAGAGCATCTTTTTACTTGCTAGAAGGGATGTTGACTGATTCATGAATCACTTAAGCCAATTAGATCTTCAAATTCACTCCGTTGAATTTTACTTTTTTAGTAGCCATGAGGCAGGGTTTGTTAGGTGTCACTGGCAGGGAGAGAAGAAAGGGGCCAGGGTATTTGAGCTTTTTCTGCCAGGATGAAGGGTTTGGGTACTGATGAGAACCAAAAGTTACCGAGAAAGTTCCAGTCTCATTAGGGAAGTAAGTAGTCTAATACATATAAATATCTGATATATATAATCTGATATATATATATATGAGAGATTGTGAGTGCCTATCATAGTATAACTCCAACTGAGTTGGGGGAAGAAATCCAAGTGTCAGAGTATCAGTCTAGTGAAATGGAATAGATATAGATTTTAGGGTTCCTTCCAACTCTTGAGATACTATGATTCTATGTAAACTTACTGAGCCTTAGCTTTCTCTCTTGTAAATGGGAATTCTAGTACTATAATAGGTTATATATACTATATATTATATATATATAAGCATATATATACTATATATGTATATTATAGTAATATAATAGGGTATAACAGGGTAGTGGTGTTTATTGCAGTGTCTGGGAAAATTTTTTTTTAATGTTTATGTATTTTTGAGAGAAAGAGTGCACATGCGTGCAAGCTGGCAGGGGGGCGGGGGTGGGAGGGGGGTTGCGGGGAAGGGCAGAGAGAGAGAGGGAGATACAGAATCCGAAGCACGCTCCAGGCTCTGAGCTGTCAGCACAGAGCCCGATGAGGGGCTCGAGCTCACAAACCGTGAGATCATGACCTGGGCCGAAGTGGGACGGTCAACCAACAGAGCCACCTAGGTGCCCCTGTCTGTAAATTTTAAGGGCCCAAACCGGTGGCTGGTATTTTGGCTGAATGATGAATGAGGGTCTTTGTAGAGCTACATGCCGTGTGAAAGAGGTACAGAGGCCGGGGATTGCCGTTAGGAGTATACTTGCCACGCGGCGCACCGAGACTCCAAGAGAACGAAAACTATAATGGAGGCTATGGCATGACTCATCCGAGTGTTTTCATGTGAGGAGAAAGGGAGGTGAGAATATAAGAACACTTGGGCAGAAAGGAGTAACCTGAGTGCTCTAAGAAGAGGCGGTATAGTGATGCACTGGAAAGAGCAGTAGGCAATGACAGAGGCACTACCAGATGCGTCGACTTTCCATTGAATTCTCACAGCAGCCCTGCAAGTTGCTATTACCGTGTCCCTTTTTTCAGTGAAAGAAACGATGGCTCAGAGGAGTCAGCGACTCATTCAGGGTTACAAGGTAAATGAAGAAGGGGGAAGTCGTATCTGGCGTCGTCTGGCCCCAAAGCTGGCGTTCTGAACTAATCTGATGCCACTCACTGTGTGAGGGCATGGGCCATCGGTGAGCCTGAGAGGTGTGGGAGGTGATCAGAAACATCTTTGCCTGGAATAGCTGCCCTTGCCTGCACACACACACACACAGACGACACAAACGTGTGGGAGGAGTTGATTGAGCACCTTGGGTGTCAGGGTCAGGAATGTAGCAAGAATCTGATAGAAAATGAAAAGCTGTTGAGGGCGGTGAGCAAGGCAGTGTGTGAAACGGTCGGAGCACAGCTTCTGGAGACAGACTGCGCAGGTGTGAGCCCCAGCTTTGCCACTTGCCAGGTGTGAGATGCTGAACAGAGGGAGCATGAGAGAGAAGAAAGGTTGAAGCAACATGGACAGAACACACCTCACATCATGTTTACCTGCCCTGGTTCCTCAGAAGGAACAGGCAGGGACCAATGAACTTTAGAGAACTGGCGTTAGGAAATGTGCCTTAGCAGGTACAAAACTTGCTGTTTGGACAAACAGCGAGAACAAAGAACAAAGCACTCTGATGAACTAGACCGATAAGCCCTTGATTAGACTAAGAGGAAGAGAATAAGGGGAAACCACCACCTTGATGATGTAGCCAGTGGCAAAAATGCAATGCAAAACAGACCTGTTGGTTGCCTTGATTTGTAGTGATTTTCCATAAGCGCTGCCCAGATCTTCATCAAAATTCAGGTTCTACAGCTGTAACAGCGCCGAGTAGCTGAAACTGCACTGACTCCGGAATGGAAAGGTTGGAATTTACAACACAGGGTCTTCTGCCCCCTGGTCATGATGTCCTTCCAGGTACGGCACACCTATGAATGTGAGCTATCCTCAGTAAAGTGAGGCAACATCTGACTTAACGCTGGTGCAAAAGTTGCATTACATGGAGGATGGGAAGGCACTTTGCAACTTGCAGTAGGATACGAAGAATGATTGCCAGCGTTATGGTAACAGCCTCAGCATAAGCCACGTCATTCCTGCGTCGGTTAGGTTCTTTTGTGTGCCTTAACTACACATAGGAAACAGAGAAATAACTAACTGATGTGACCCTATATACTTTTCCCTAGGAATAGAGTTGGAGAAAGCAGATCTCTTAGAACCTAGAGCGGTGATTCTCAAAGTGCGGCCCGGAACTAGCACCATTACCTGGCAACTTGTTAAGAATGCACATTCGGGGCCATGCCTTTGAACGACAGAATCAGAAACTCTGGTGGCTGGAACCAGTATCTATTTTATTTTCATAACCATTGACTTAGAAGAGACATGTGATGTTCTGGCATGACCAAACAACTGGCTACGTGATGAGAAACATTGCCAATAAGGAAGAAATTGGGACTTTGGTGATGAGCTCAAATTAAGGGATCACAAAGCTAGAAGTGATCTAAAAAGCTAGATCCAGAAAGTGTTAAATCTAAAAGGCTAGATCCTTGGGGCGCCTGGGTGGCTCGGTCGGGTTGAGCGTCCGACTTCGGCTCAGGTCATGATCTCACAGTCCGTGAGTTCGGGCCCCGCGTCGGGCTCTGTGCTGACAGCTCAGAGCCTGGAGCCCGTTTCAGATTCTGTGTCTCCCTCTCTCTGTCCCTCCCCTGTTCATGCTCTGTCTCTCTCTGTCTCAAAAATAAATAAATGTTAAAAAAAATTTTTTTAAAATAAATAAATAAATAAATAAAAGGCTAGATCCAAAAGGCTAGATCTAAAAAGCATGGAATCAAGGTGGAATTAAAAAAATGGTTTTGTTAGAATGTCATCTTTCCTCCGTGCAGCGGGTTGAATAGTGTCCCCCCAAAATGCATGTCTACCCAGAATCTATGAATGTGAACTTGGAAATAGGTTCTTTGCAGATGTAATTAAATTGAGGTCTTATTGGAATAGGGCGGGCCCTAGAGCCAATTAATGGTGTCCTTACAGGGAGAGGGAGATATGGAAACAAAGAGACAAACAGACATGGAAGCAAATGTCATATTAAGATAGAGGCAGTGATTGGAGTAATAAATCTACAAGCCAATGAACACTGAGGACTGCTGGCAGCCACCAGAAGCTGGGAGGCAGGCGTGGAACAGATTCTCCCTCAGAGCCTCCAGGAGGAACCAGCCCAGCTGACGCCTTGCTTGAAGACTTCTGGCCTCCTGAACGGTGACAAAATACATTGCTGTTGTTTTAAGCCACCCGGTTTGTGGTACTTTGTGATGGCAGCCCAAGAAAAGGATCCCCTTTAGGGGCATCTGGGTGGCTCAGTTGGTTAAGCGTCTGACTCCGGCTCAGGTCATGATCTCACGGTTCATGAGTTCGAGCCCCGAGTCAGGCTCTGTGCTGACAGCTTGCGGTCTGGAGCCTGCCTGAGATTGTGTGTCTCCCTCTCTCTCTGCCCCTCCCCTGCTTGTGCTCTGTCTCTCTCTCTCTCTCTCAAAAAACAAACATTAAAAAAAAAAAAGAAAAGAAAACAATCCCCTCTAAAAGCAAGTGTTTCTCAACCATTTAACATTCTGGAATGACTCCACGTTTCCCCAGTTTCTCACACTCTTGATAATTCTTCTCTTCTAAGTGTGTAGACTTTTTTTCCTTAGGTCATATTGTCTCTGACTACGGCCCACGCTTTTATTTCCAGGCAGACCGTATCTGTGAAGTGTCAGATATTCCGATTCAGATGTTTAAGCATCCCCTGGAGATATGGTGTAGAATAGTGGGTAAGGAATGGGCTTTAGGATGATTGACAACTAGTGTGACCTTGGGAAGGGGGAGTTATTTACTCACCTGGAGTTTCTTCTTCTGTGAAACGGGGAGGAATTAGTACCAGCCTTGTTATAATGTTCTGGGACTCAAGGGTTAATAACTCAAATGGTTAATAAGCACATAGGAGATGAGCCTGACATAGTAGAATATAGAACAAATATTAGGTCCTAATATTTTATGGTAAGTACTTAACTCCATTTGAATATCTCACATTAACTCGTTATTCTCATCCCCAAAACTGGTCATCCCTAGTGTTTCCAATCTCAGTGTATGACATCACTGTTCACCTGGTTGCTTCAGTCAAATACGTAGAAATTGCCTTTGATGCCATTTCCCTCACCCACCCCCTGCATCATCAGGTAGTCCTGTGGTTTATGTATCTAGCAAATATAATTAAGATCCGTGTACTGCTCTCTGCCCCCGTAGCTTCCCTCCCAGTTCTCTTGCTTCTCATTTGGACTGTAACACACCTTGCCTGGTATCTCTGTCTCACCCTCATCCTAAATGAGTCCATTTCCTACCGTGTGGCAGATGAATCATAAAGAGAAAATCCCAAGTCTGATCGGGTCATCCTACAAATATTTGCTGATTGAGCAAATGGCATTTCCCCCAACACTCTGAAGGTTCCATGAGAGGAGAAACTGACTCATCTCACTTGTATTCTGCCATCTACTATTCGGGTTCAGTGGCCCCCAAATAGATGCTTGTTTAACGAACTGATGAAGGAACGAAGCAAAAACATCAGCAAGAATGGAAAGGGGGCTCAGGATTCTTCTCAACGAACACCGTTTCTCCCTGGCTTTCCATACCACCATGAGTAAGAGAGAGACAGGACTGCCCTAGGGTTCTGGTGCTCCAGGGAAGACCCTGTGCCCTGCCTCCCCCTACATCCACAGCCTTACCACCAATGTCTTGGAGGCCATCATGACTTGATCTTCATCTCCATCAGACACGACATGAAGAAGCTCAAGACACCCAGGTCCTCCTTTCTCCCCCAGCCATTCCCCCAACACAGCTCTTTATACAATCTGATCTGGCTGCCTCTTCACCTCTCCCCTGTTCTCAGACCCTCCCACTATGCTTTATGCAATTCTATGTCAGTCATCAGCAATACCCCCTAAATCTTTAACCTCTTATTTATAAATTCTGTTATACCCTTTTGCTCTAACAGAAATACAGATATTCCTGGGAATCCTGTCTGCTGATAAAACACTTTTAATTTTTTTTTTTTTTTTTGCCTCCCTGTACCCTTAACCTGAAGGCAGGATGGATATCCTCCTGTTGCCTCATTATGGCATCCAGACTCTTCTCCCTCCTTCCTCTCTGAAAAACCACCTTAAAGTTTATGTCATCTATTACCCTCCATTGCCCCTCCATATACCATCCATTACCCCTCCTTGGCATAGGCACCTTTGGACCTGTGAGCCATGCCCGCCCCCCACCCCCCTCATTCTTTCCTTTTTGTAACTCGAACTCATTCTTACAATCTCAATTTCTATTCACATCATACACTGGTGATTCCAATATCAGTGAGGATAATCCTTCCAGTAATCTGGCCTCTTATTTCTTTTACAGTCCTTCCATTCTCCCCAGATGTTGACATCTGTTATCTCAGGTTCAAGCATCCCACTCTGCCCCTGCCATGCTCTGTCTTTCCAATTTTCCAATTCCAATTCCTCAACTCCATAAAGCTTTGACTGCACAGTGACCAACGATCTCTTGATCTCGTTGCCTATGTAACTGGGAATGTAGAAGAAAACAGAAGACAATTTTCTCCCCCCCTCACCCCCCGCCCACCACTTCTACCTTGTATGTATCCACACTATATACTTTCTCCCAGTTAGCATGAATGAATGTCTGTGTTTTTGTCCGGGGCTAGTTGCTATACTTTGCATCAGAACTTGTCCCCTCTTGCTCCAGTCAAGGGTACTTCCCCAGCAAGCATTCTTTATCTCTCCTCCATAAATGTTTTTATTAGCAAATGAAGCTGGTGTATAATTCCTCCTGTCTTCAAAACTCCTTCTCTGGATACCACATTTCCTCCCAGCTACCATCACATTTCCCTGCTTCCCTTTTTAGCAAAGCTCTTCCAAAGAGATGCTCATTCTCATTATCTTTACATCTGTCTCCTGTTCTCTCTCGAACCATCCCATTCAGGCTCCTATTCTTACCACTTCATAAAAATGTCTCTTGCTAATGTCACCAAAGATCTGGTGGAGCAAATATCACTCCTAATTACTTAACCTTAATAGCATTTGACCAACTGACCTCTCCCTCTGCATTGAAATATTTTCTCATTTCTTCCAGGATACCTTCCTCATATTCTTCACTGGTTCCATCTCAATGCCCTCTGCTCTTGGCTTCTCACTCCCCGACCACAAAACCTCAGTGTGCTTCAGGATTCAGTCTTTGAATATCACCTTTCTCCAGATAGACATTGCCATGCAGTCCTATGGCCTTAAAACCGTGTACATGCCGATGACTCCCAAATTATTACCAAGTCTGGGTCCCCTCTGCAATTGCCACAAAATGATATTCAACTACCAACTTGACAACTCTACACAAGCATATTTTTATCAAAACAAACTCCCAACTTCTTGCATCCCAAACCTACCCTTCTGCATCCTTCTTCACCTCAGTAGATGGTAACCTGATCCCTCCTTTAGAACAAAAGCTCCTAGCTCCTCTCTTTTGCTCACACCCCACATCTAATCCACTAGCAAATCCTGTTGGTTCTGTCTTTGAGATATGTCTAGAACCCACCTACTTTTCACCATCTCTAGCACTACCACCCTTGTCCAAGCCACCATCATCTCTTATTTGGGTTATTTCAATAGCCTGATACCTGATTCCCTTGCTTCTGCCTTTGGCTCACTTATATCTGTCCTAACATATCAGTCAAATGGTTCTTTTAAAATATAAATGTCACAATGCGGTGCCTGGGTGGCTCAGTCAGTTAAGCCTCCAACTCTTGATTTCAGCTCAGATCTTAATCCCAGGGTCATGATCCCAGGGTCATGGCATCAAGCCCTGCATCGGGTTGTGGGCTGAGCATGGAGCCTGCTTAAGATTCTCTCTCTGTCTCTCTCTCTCCTTCTGCTCCTCTCCCCTGCTCACACACTCTCTCTCTAAAATAAAATAAAAATAAAAAATAAAAAATATATAAGTCCCACAACGTTACACCTAGCTTAAACCCCAGTGGCTTTTCCTTCTTGATTAAAGTAAATTCCTACAATGGCCTAAGAGTCTCTATAAGATGTAGCTCCTACTATTTCTCTGGCTTTATCTCTTCACTCTCTTCCCCATTGCTCCCCAGTCATTTTGGCCGCCATGGTTGTCTCTGAGACAAGTCAGGCAAGCTCCTGCCTCAAGACCTTTGTGCTTGCTGTTCCTCTGCTCAGAATGTGCCTCTCCCAGATGTCCCTCACTTCCTTCAGGTCACTTAAAATGTCACTGACTCAGAGACACCTTCCTTAACCTTATTTTAAATAGCACACTCCTTCCAGGAAGGTCCCTTGCCTGTTTTTACCTGTTTTATTTATTTCCTTAGCAGGTTTCACCATTTAATACACTATATTTGGATCTACTTAGTTTATTTGATGGCATGTTCTCCCATTTGCAAGTAAACTCCATAAGGGCAGGAATTTTTGCCTGTTTTGGTCTCAGCTGTATTCCTCATGTTTTTTAAAGTGTAGGACACATACTATTT